CTACTGTTGGTGTTGCCTAGGTGGTTCTTGCTCTCAAGAGCAGCTCTGTAGGATTGTTATTTTTTTTTTGCCTTTGACCTTAACATCATCGACTTGAATAACAGCTTCATACAGATTTCTACCAGTGCACGCCGCAGCAGGGGCCGGCGCCGTTTGGAAACCAGTGCCAGGATCTCTCAATTTAGGAGACGCACAGTCTCTCCTGAAGAGAGGCTGAGAAGATGCGCAATTTGGTATTAGCATAAGAACTAAAGACATTTTGAACATATTATTTGATTTTTTTTAAGAACGAGGGTTTTGCCCTGGCTGGCATAGCTCAGTGGATTGAGCGCAGGCTGCAAACCAAAGCATCGCAGGTTCGATTCCCAGTCAGGGCACATGCCTGGGTTGCAGGCCATGACCCCCAGCAACTGCACATTGATGTTTCTCTCTCTCTCTCTCTCTTTCTGCCTCCCTTCACTCTCTAAAAATAAATGAATAAAATCTTAAAAAGAAGAATGAGTTTTTGTTTTGTTTTGTTTTTGTTTTGTTTTTTTTGGGAGGTCGCCAGTTTGATTCCCAATCAGGACACATGCCTGGGTTCCAGGCCAGGTCCCCAGTAGGGGGCGCATGAGAGGCAACCACACTGGTGTTTCTCTCCCTCTCTCCAAAAATGAATGAATAAAATTTTTTTTAAAAAGAACAAGGTTTTTTTTAGGAATTTAAATGTTTACCACAAACCAGGCCTTCTTTCAAAAGTGACTCTGCGGCTTCCTGTATTTAATAAAAGTGTCCACTTACAAAGTAGCTTGGTAACGTAGGTTTAAAACTTAAACAGCAACAATGTGGCATTGAAATGAATCTCAGTACGCAAAAAAAAAAAACAAAACACTAAAAAAGACCAAGGTTTTGGTGAATGTTAAATTATTTCATATTTTGCACAACTTAGGATCATTCTTATACGTTATGGTTTAGATCTCAGCATTAATCTAAAATGACCTTGACCCTTGAACCCCGAAATGTAATGCTCTTCAGAACCGGATGGCCTTTCTCTTCTGTTTTGTGAGCAAATGAACCAAAAACTGGGGCTCAGTCCTGCGTGGGACCCCGACCCGAGGATGAGCGAGGGGAAATGCCGGTTGAGGTGCACGGCGCCAGAGAGCCCGTTCTGGCTCAGTGAAAGCAGGAGCTTGTTCTATATCCCGTGACAAAACATTCCCCCCTTTCCTGCAAATGTTCTCTCATCCCAACAACACGGGCGGGTTGTTTTTTTCCCCAGGGGGTGGGGTCTGGGGTGGGCGGGGCCTCCGTGAATGTAAGCCACCCTCACTCCTGAAACTGCACTGTGGTGGGGAATTCAGATGCAGTGGCGCATGGGGCGGTGGGTGGAGGGGGGGTACGTGGGAAGCTTTGGCGTCGTCATCAAAACATAAGGCTGCATTTGAAACAGGAGGTAAAGGATACAATGGCAACAGCATAAATTCCTTATTTACAATCTCGCAGTTCCCTAAATCCTGCAACACATGAAGAGTGCCGGACAGACGGTTTTACAACGCTTTACCAACACCTCCAAAGCCCGGAAAGCCGCGGTGAGTTACACCCTATAGCCCTAAATTTCAGAAATGGCCTGACTGTGTCCTTTACTTTTCAGACTTTCTCAAATTTTCGTTAATTGATGAATAATGAGGAATTTCAGGTACCCATGCACAAAGAAATCAACTTTTCACCTTTCTAGCACAAAAAAATGAAAAGAAAAAATCTATTCCAACAAAATGTCAAAATCTTTTCTTTTTTTTTTTTTAACCAAGTAAAGAAACCCTTTAGAATAGGATGTCTACGATCCCGACACTTACCACGTTCCACCACCCGAAGTGCATTCAGGTGTCGAAGCCAAAGCTTCGGTGACACCCATGTTAACACTAACACTGATCCCATACTTAGCTGAGACCTTGGAGCTTCAAAGGACCAAGACAAACACTCAGCTCCCAACCGGCCACTGCATCCGTCTCCGTTGCCCTTCTCTGCGGCGGAGCCCACGGCCGCTGGCCCGCTCTGCGAGCAGGGCTGGAGCGGACCTGCGCTGTTCCTGCCTGCCCCTGCCCAGCCTCCCTGCTCGGGTGTTCCTGTGGAGAACCCCCCTGGGCTGGGGCTAACGCCAGACCTTCTTCTGGAAAAAGACGCGTGGACCCAAGCTCAGTTGCAGAACTGGCCCACGGAGGGGCAAATGCCACAGAGCACCCTTGGAAGGACCACCCTGAGGCTGGGGGTGGGCGGGGGGACGTCCTTGTTTTCTGGCTAGGAGTACGCTGGGAGCAGCTTCGAGGAGCTATCATAGAGAAGGAACTTGCTTGAAAATGAATCCCAGGCCAGAAAACAGATCCCGATAACCTTGACTGGTGGGCCCAGCCATCCTTTAACTGGCAAAGACCTACCGCGGGCTTTTTGCATCAACCAGATAAAGTCCTTAATAAACCAGTGTGAACTGCTTCTGTCGCTTGCGGCCAAAAGAGCCCAGAGTCTAACGACATGGCAGCACTAAAAATAAACGTGACTGCCTCCAGGGTTTCTAATGGATTCTCCTCCTTGGATGCACCACCTCACGGAAGCCTCGCCATTCGGAAACGCACATATCTCTCAGCATTAAATTCACATTTGTTATTTTGTGAACACGTACTATGTGGAGGAGAGGTGGTGCATGCCCGGGGTGGGGCGTCAGTCTGGAAGAGGGTGGCCGGGGAGGTCTCACTTCCGTGGGAGGAACACGCGGGTACGTATCTCAGCCACTCACTAGACAGCCATCAGATGAAAGAGTATGCGGTACCCAGTCCCGCCAGGAGGCGGTTCTTGCAATAAGTCCCGGATGATAGACAAAAGGCTCTTGAAAGAGCCCAGATCAGAGATGATGAACCCCAAACAGGTGGTGGTATGAGAAGGGCTCAAACAATAGGGCACAGAGATGCAGTCCAGTGAGATGTGGCTGGGAGGGGTTGGGGGTGCTAGCTGGGTGCAGCCGTTGCCACTGAGGAAGAGAAGGAGAGAGAGGGAGCAGACAAAGTACGGGCTAGTTAAACAGGCTTGCGGAATATACGAGTGTCAGCCAAGAGGTCCAGCAGGCCCGTAGAACGGGGGTCTGGGCTGCAGAGAGGCTAAGGCTGGAAATACCCGATGAAGAACCCCGGGGTACACACAGCAGTTCAGGCTCCCGCACTGCCCTCCCGGGCCTCACTGTGGGGAGAAGGGGGGGGGGGGCTGGCTACAATGCCCCCGATGTAATCTCGGGCCTGCTGGTGAGCTCCACGAAATCCGGCTGCAGGGAGGGTTGCGGTGGGGCGGGAGGCTCAGCAAACATTTGGAAGGGCAGAGTGCGTGCAGCCAGGGCACTGAGAGCACGCCGCGGGCTCTGGGAGTGTTTCTCCGGGTGCCCTCCCCGGTGGGAGCCGCCAGACTCGGCTGCGACACTGGGCGCAGCCTCATTACTCAGCCATCACCTCTTAAATTAGGTCATGCTCTCACATTAGGTGTCATCGCGGCTGGCAACGCTTTCTGGAGATGTCTCAGAAAGACGAGTTGAAAAATATTTTTGTGTCACTGTAATTTAATGTCAAATTCCCGCCCCTTCCCTTTCTCCGGGCCAAACCCACTGACCACAGCAGGTCACCGCACGGAGAACGGGGGCGGGGTCAGAGATGGGGTTCCCCACCCCCGCACCAAGTAACTCTTTAAAAAGCTATCAAAGTCTCAAAGTAACAAAGGGCGTTGAGAGCGGAAAGGCCTGGCTGCTGGCGACTGCAAGGCAGGTCTCCCGGCTTGGGCGCGAGCGTACCCTAGGGGGCGGCAGACGCTCGGAGGACGAGAAGAGGTGCAGTCCTTCCACGCCCACATCCCTCCAGATCCCCGGGCTCGCGCCTGGCCGCCGCCAGCCGCACATCTGCTCTGGCTCCGCTGAGCACGCAGGTTCAAGGTCGCGCGGCCGCGACCAGAGAGCCCCAGGCAGCGGGGACAGCATCCCAACCAGCCTCTGCTTGGCGTCTGCAGCCGGCGCTTTTGCTTTGGACTTGACGGAGAAGTCCACTTACTCTCCCTCCGCCGCGTTAACTGCCCGCATTCATCCTTCACCGTCTCCGCCTTCCCGCACCCCAGGCTTCCCCTGCCCATCTCCGCAGCCCCCTCTCCGGCCCCTCGGCAAGGCAGTATTTTTACGTTCATGTCTGTGACTGTAATGTGTGTGTGGGTGTGTGCGTGAACTTCGAAGTCAGTGCCTGACTCAACAATTCATTCAGGGTCAAAGTTACCCTTGAAAAATCGCCCACGAATCCCAAGATTCCGTGTCTACACTCAGCGCAAAGATGTGCAGGTACCCGTGGGTGAGACATCCTATAAAAGTGCATACCAAATAAATAAAAAACAAGGAAGCAAAGCAGACTTTCAGCGCAAGAGAAAACGGTATCTGGTAAGAGAGCCCGCGTGCGCCCCCAGGGTACTCGTTACTGCTTCGCGCGGTGGACTGCAGGCGGCTGGAGGGCAGGCCTCGTCCGATTGGGCCCACCTCCGCAGCCTCGGCGCGCGCCCCAGCGCCGGGCACATGGTTCGTGCTCAGTGATCTGGCCTGAATAAATGAACCAAGGAATGAATGAGTGCACGCTCGATCCAACTCCGTGCCCGCAGAGAAGGCGCTTGGAGAGGCGAACGAGGGCGGCGGGTCCAGTCCCATCCTCGTGGCTGCGGGCCGGGCAAGGTGAGCGCGGAGACACTGGCCTCGAGTTCCGGCCAAGCCCACTCCGGGCGGCAGCACGTGCGCCTCCCCCGGAGCCCACGGCGCACGCCCCGCCCCTCCCCGCCTTGAACGCACGCGCCCTGCAGTCCGTCACCCCTTGAGCCCGCACCCCGAGGTTCGCCCGCACGCCGGCTGCCCCTCGCGCCTGCGCCCGCTGGGGGGCGCTCTCCTCCGCCCGGTGCGCCCACACCCGGCGCCGCAAGCCCCTGAGTTTCTACTCCCGACCCTGGGCGCATGCACCGCCTACCTGCGGGCAGAAGAGGGAGGCGGGCGAAATGGCTGAGGGGCTGAAGGAGACCGTTGCCGGAGGCAGAAGGCGAGAGAGTGAGCGGCCGCGGCGGGTGGGGCGGGAGGGCGCGGGCACGCGCGCGCCCGCGCGCGCGGCCCCGACCCTCGCTCCGTCAGTCGACTCCGGGCCAGAGCCCAACCCTGCTGCCGCGCGCCGCCCGCCTCGCAGAGCCTAATAACAACGGCGCCCGGGGTCAGGTGGCCGCGCGCGGACAGCGTCGCCATTGGCCGGGCGGGGAGCGCGGCGCGTCAGGATTGGCTGGGAGGTGGAGCCTAGGCCGGGGCCGGGGCGGGGCTGTAGAGGGAGGCGGGCAGGGAGGTGACGGGGGCGGGGCCAGGCCGCGGTCCGCGCCTTTGTGCCCGGCGCGCGCTCTCCGCCCGCTCCGGCTGCAGCGCCGGCTGCATCAATAATTCAGAGCGGCGGCGGCGGCGCCAGCGGCGGGTGCGGGCAGGAAGCAGCGGAAGCAGCGAGGACCGAGCGGCAGCGGCTATGCATCCAAGTGCGGCTGGGCAGCCGCGGCTCCCCTGAGGCCCGGGCGGGGCTCCGGGAGCATCTCGCGGGGGGCTCGCCTGCCCGGGAGTGCAAGGAAGAGCAGCAGTGTCCAGAGCGGCGTCGGCGGATCTGCGCGCGGAGCTGAGGAGGGGGCTCCCGAGCGGGGCTGGGGCGGGGGGGCGGCTGGCGCAGGCAGCCCCCGGGGCGGGGGGCGGGGTGGGCGCCGGCGCCGCGATGCTGGGCATCGTGGAGCTGCTGCTGCTTGGGGCGGTGTGGCTGGCGGGCCCGGCCCGGGGGCAGAATGAGACGGAGCCCATCGTGCTGGAGGGCAAGTGCCTGGTGGTGTGCGACTCCAACCCGACGTCCGACCCCACGGGCACAGCGCTGGGCATCTCTGTGCGCTCCGGCAGCGCCAAGGTGGCTTTCTCTGCCATCAGAAGCACCAACCACGAGCCGTCCGAGATGAGTAATCGCACCATGATCATCTACTTCGACCAGGTGAGTGCTCCCGGAAGACGGGACTGGTGGAGGGCAGGGGAGAGGCGGAAGGTAGATGCCCGCGAGTCCCCAAGGGCTCTGCGGAGGCGCGTAGCAAGAGGTCAGACTGACTCTCGCCTGCTCCCTCCCCGCCCCGCGCCTTCTAGGTGCTGGTGAACATCGGCAACAACTTCGATTCGGAACGCAGCACTTTCATCGCCCCGCGCAAAGGGATCTACAGTTTCAACTTCCACGTGGTCAAAGTCTACAACAGACAGACCATCCAGGTCAGCCGCAGCTTCAGGGTCGGGTCTGGCGCCGGGGCGGGGGCTCCTGGCCGCGGGAGCGAGGGGGGGCCCGTGTCGGGGTGGGAGCCAGAAGGGGCAGCTGCGTGTGCGCCAGCTGCTCGGAAGGACGAGTAGCAGGGCCGCATGCTTCTGCGGCTGGGGGCCGTCCCTCGCCTCCCCTGTCGTCTGCTTCTGGGACCTAGCCCCCTCCCCAAAGGCAGTGTTTCCCTCCGTCAGCTGGGCCCCTCCGAAGGGGTTCCCACGCTTTGCAAGGAGACTCCAGGGATTTCCCTGTAGACGTTGCTGTTAGCACCACGGACAGTTCCCCCCCCCCCACCCCCGTGAGATTTCCCTGACCCCCGCCTGTAGCCCCGCGGACAGTATCCCTGACCCCTTGTTCCAGCTCTGAAGCCGGCGAGGCGTCTTTGCGCTAGCTTTCAGCACCACGCTCAAGGGGGCCTCCCGCGTTCCTGCGCGGACCCGCTCTGGGGTTCGGAACTAGCAGTGTCCCTCAGAGCCCTGGCGGGTGAAGGGTGGAGAAAGACGGGAAGGAGCGCAGTGCCACTCCTTCCTGGCTCCAGTCTCGCCCCAGCCAGCTCTCACACACTCCCCAGGTTCCCAAAGGTGTCCAGGGCTCCTTTGGGCTGAGAGAGAAGGTGGACCGCGCCGCTGGGCACGCGAGCGGGGCCCTTGGCTGCCGAGGCTCCCGCAAGGGCAAACCCCGGCGGTGGGTGGCGAGAGCGGCCGGAGCTGGATGGGAATCGAGCCTGGGGTTTGGGCTTGAAGCACAGAATGTAGCTCTGCGCGAGATTTCTCTTCAGCCAGAAGCCTTGCGCGGTTTCTCCACTGTCTCCACGGCGTCCAGCCAGGCAGCCAGGGCCAGGGGGAACCAGGGTTTTTGTTTGTTTTTCCCAGAAGGGCCAAGCGCAGAGTTGTCTGAGTTTCCCTTTGAGCCTTAGGAATGGGAGGAGGGAAGGGGACTAAAGTCTTCAGGCACTTTAACCACCTATGTATCCCTTAAACCGGATGCAAGCGCACCCTCGGATTTCGCCGGGCTGCTCAGGAAATGAAGGCGACTTGGCTAGGGGCACACCCTTCCTCTCACCCAGATGGGCACCCTTTGCCCCCACTAGGCCCCCAGCAGTAATCCGGCAAAGCCCCTCTTCTCCCCACCCCCGCCCCGCACCCGCCCCGCACCCTGCGCGTCCAGGCCTTTCCGCGGTTAGCCGCAGCGCGGAGGTTCGAGTCTCCACCGCCGCTTCGGTGCCGCCTGGGCTGCAACTCTGAAGCGGGCTTTTCTCTTCCCCAGGTGAGCCTTATGTTGAACGGGTGGCCGGTGATCTCCGCTTTCGCTGGTGACCAGGACGTGACGCGGGAGGCCGCCAGCAACGGAGTCCTCATCCAGATGGAGAAAGGCGACAGAGCATACCTCAAGCTGGAGCGGGGGAACTTGATGGGGGGCTGGAAGTACTCCACCTTCTCCGGATTCCTCGTGTTTCCCCTCTGACGGGCTCATCTCCGACCCGGCATGGAGACAGGGAGAGGGCCGGCAGGCAGGAGGGGGCATGAGCCAGAGGCTGACTTGGAGAGGACCAGAACGCAGCAGGACCTGAAACCTCCCACACGTCCCCCCCACCGTATCGGGGTGAAAAGTGGGCACTCAGAAGGGCGGACGAACACTCGTCCATTCACTCATTGGAAGGAAATTCCACTTAAGCTCTGCACACTCCCATTTCCAAAACTCAGCTCACCTCCCCCATCCCAGCTGCAGTCAAGAAGGAAGAGACACAGCCTTGTCCTTGTTTCTTATCCCAAGTTCGTGTTCCCTGCGATTTATAGAAAAGAAACTTTGTATTTCACTGTGTAGTGTGAAATATCCCCCTCTGAGGTCCCCTGCTGACATCTAACATGCCCCTCCCCCGTTTTAGTCGACAGGGGGTAAGTTTCTCTTTTCTTTTTTTTTTTTTTTGATGGGGGAGGCAGTTTTAATTTGGCAAGTATTGCTCTCCGTAAAAACACCGCTCAAGAGCTAATTCGCTGAAGATACTTTGTGTCCTTGGCTGCCTGCTAGCAGAGAAAGGACTCACCTTAGTGGTGACTGGTTTAAAAAAATATATATATATAAGAAATATATATCATTTGTACACGAAGAACTCTCCCCAGTGGACACTGGCTGTATTTCCGTGTTTCTATGCCCTATGCGGAGTGATCGTGAAATCCAAGGCTGCTCCATGTCCTGACGCTTGTCCAACGCCCTCGTGTTCCGTGGCTCCAATAACCACCGCCAGGAGGTCCTCTGTAACATACGTGTGAATAGCCAAGATTTACATTTGCTTCAATCCAATAAAGTTGGAGTGGGACTTTTATTTATTTATTTTTTTCCTGAAACCGCTTTCTTCCCCAGCTGCGAGGTTGGAGGGCCCGGGTGCGAAAGGGCGAGCTTCCGAGTGGGGGAGACCGGCTAGCCTGCGACCCGAGCGCGAAGCCGCCGGGACTCCAGCCTTCGCCGGGCTTGGCGCCAGCGCCCCGCACTCTCCTGTGCTCCCCGCTTTGGCGCAGACGTAAGGAATTTGACCGAAACCTCACTAGGCCGGGCGGGGTCGCCGGCCCGGAAGCGAAGTTTGGGGTTTTCAAAGTCCCCACGCATCAGGGACAACCCCGGTTAGAGGAGCTGACGCCGGTGTGCGCGGAGCGGCGCGCTCCCCGCGCCTCTGCCCCCGGGTGCCTCCGCCGCGCGCTCCTCGGTCCCCGAAGCCGCGTTTTCGTCCCACCGCTCTGAATCCCGGGTCTGCCCTCTGTATTCCTCGAGCGCCCAGGAGTGGCGCTCCTCGCGGGACTTTTGATCGAGAGGTTCGTCCCGGAGTGTTGATTGTATCGGAACATAATGTGAAAGCAAAATTGAAATAAACGACACCGTTTTAAGTCTGGAAGTCTGACCCAGTCGCTTCGGCAACGGGGAGGTCGGGCGCGGGAAAGGGGGTGGGCGGCCAAGAGCCTTGGGGTGGGAGCCTTGGCTTGAATGGGACCCTCTGGCTCCGCTCTTTTTAGAGGCGTATTTCTCCTGGCCCAATATTCAGGGATCGAGGTAATTAGCTCCTGGAGGGTGGGGGGGGAGGGGAAATGAATAATAGCATAATAAGCAGCGTATCTCGAGTCTTTTCCTGCAGCTCCTCTGACTGAGAGATTCACTGGGCAAGCCGCCATCCTTGGAACTCGGGCCCTGCGTCTCCTCCGCGCGCAGCCCCGGCCGCATCCCCAGCCGGCGCCCCGGTGCCCCGGCCCAGGGGGATCGGTGGGGCCTTCGGAAGTGGACAGTGGGCCCGAGTGCTTTTGTCTCCCCGCCTCTCAGCTCCCCTCCCCGCGAGCCAGTTGCCAGGGAAGCCAAGGTGAGGTGGAGTAGCGGCCTAAGAGGACTTTATTTTTAAAACGATTCTTTTTAAAAAAGAGACACTTAACAATATTTTCTCCGCGTTCTTCCGGTTGGGAGGAGAGGTGGGGGGAGCTGGAGGGGCTGCAGCGGAACTGGCCCGACCCAGCCGCTCTGCTCGTCCGAAGCCAGCCTGCCAGCCACGCGCCACATCGCAGGTGCCCTCCGCGAAGCCACTGCAGCCGCCGCCCCAGGAGGCTGCGCCCGGAAGGCGCCTGGAGCTCGCTCGGCGGGCGGGGGCGGGCGTCACCCCTCTTCCTGTGGAGGAGATCAGCTGGGCGACTGACAAGTGCCCTCTCCAGCCCCAGGTGTATGAAGACAGGGAGGGATCTGAACATCTCCAGGAGTCCCTCCTGCTCCGAGGTCCCAGCCGTCCTCTGGTCCCTGACTGGGGGGCCCTCAGCTCTTCTGCCTGGGTTTAGTGAGTCCCGGCCGCGCGCGCTCCCGGCTCCTGAACGCGGGGCCTGAGCCCGGGCTGGAGGCCAAGGGGAACCCTGTGCGCGCCCACCCCCACCCCACCCCGGCCAGGCACTGACGCGCCCTGCGAGCCCCTGCTCTGGGGACTGGGAGTGAACACAGGGGAGGGCAGGGGCCCAGGTGGGACAGAGAGGGGAGGGTGACCCCTCGATTCGGCTCTGGCTCCAGCTGGGTTTGGGACGCCCTGCTCTCCCAAACCTCTGACCTGGGCGCCGGCCACGCTCCGCACTCTCGCCCCAGCCCCTTCTGCTACCTGCTCCTTCATTCAAGGTACCCATCTCCATGACCGTCTTCGTGCGTCTGCCCCTGCTGTTTCCTTGCTTCAAGTTGAAGTACACTTTCCCTCCTCTGCTTTGCAAAATCCCGATCTTTCTGGGGATCTAAGCCGTTCAACTAACAGGCTGCCTGCTCTGGGAACCCGGCCCGTCTGGGGGTCAGGGCAGAGGCTGCCTCCCTAAGCTCCACCCCTGCTCCGCATGGGGTGAGGCCCTCTCTCCGCTCCGCAGCGGGTCCCTCGGGGTGGTGGCTGCCCAAGCCAGCGAGTACCCAGGAGAGCTAAGCCGGCAGTCCTGGCCCAGAGGGCTCTGGGGAAGTGTGGGGTTCCCCACCCCCGGTCTGCCCTCGCCCTCAGGTCTGAGCCTCCCGTGAGCCTCGGTGGGGCTCTTTCCAGCGACCTGGAGGTTACAGGCCTCTCTGGGCCCCGGCTTGAAGCAGCTGGGCCACCTCCTTCGGTGGCGCAGAGGTGGGGACAGTGGTTGCGTCTGCCAGAGGCAGATGAGTTGGCCTTCGTCTGACAACCGTGCTCCAGCTGGCGTGCTGGGGATCCAGAGGGAGAGAGGAAAGGGGGCATCCTGAAACCTGCACCTCACCAATGGCTCCCTTTAGTATCTAGAACCCTCTAGGCCCTTCTAGGTCTGGGCCCTGCCTCCGACTTCCATCTCAACTAAATTCAACCGCATGGAGCCTTTAGGGGTTCCAAGACCACCCCCTCACTCAGAAAGACTCCCCTGCCCAGGTCACCTTGGTTACTTCCTTTTCTCCTGCCTCAAGAGTAAATGTCACCTCCTCCAGGAAGCCTTCCTTACCCTCCCCCATACGAATAGTGGTTACCCCTTCCTAGTCACCCTCTTTGAGGCATGGTCTCTCTTACCACACTGCCTCCTCTCCCCCATTCTCTGAGGCCAGAGGCTCTGTTCGCTCCTCCCAGGGTGGGGGTGGGGGTGGGGGTGGGGGTAGAGGTGGGGGTGGGGTGGGGGTAGGGGTGGGGGTGGGGTGGGGGGATAATATCCGGGAGGTTTCCAGCACCCAAGGAGCCCAGACCTGAGCTCTAGGCCTAGGTTTTCCCCGAGACGCACTGTGCTTCTGGGTGCCGCGGGGCCACCGCTGGGTCCTCGACGCGGGGCCGGGCCACTGTCGGCCCTGCTGTCTGCGGAGCAGCCCGGCTCCTGCGCGGCCCCCTCGCCGACTCTCCCTCCCGCGCTGCAGCTCCCACCTTCAGCCGAGCTGGGAGCGCGCCCCCCAGGCCGTGCGGGAGTGCGGGTGCCGATAGCCGGGAGGATGGGCTCCTAATGAGAGCATAAAGACCCAGATGGGGAGGGAGCCTCGCCCGCTCCCTTAATTGTTGCCTTAACGGGGCAGTGATGGGGGAGAATGCAGGGCGGGGTGAGGAGGCAGGAGGGTTCCGTGGGTGCTGGGCGCTGGGCCGGGGCCTGAGGCCTCTGTGCACGCAGGGGAGAGCAGGAAGACCCAGAGGTCCTGGGCTGGAAGGCATCTGGGGTTTCCTCCGTTGGCAATCCTTGATGGAGACGTCCCAGACTCCCGGCCGCCCCCTCCCGTTCCCTGCCCCCCTCGCAGCTTGCGCTCCGCCCGCCCTGGTCACCGCCACTGGCTTTTGCACAAAAGAGAGAAAACTGTTCCCTGCCCTGGGGAAGGCAGCGGTGCCTGCACCCAGGTCAGTCCGGAGGGAGAGCCAGGCACTCCCGCCTGTGAGCCACGTCGTGGGGGATGAAAGAGCCCCTGGGGCGATGACAAAGGTCTTTTGTTTGTTCGCTGGGGGCACAGGGGCGTTCTCTCCCAGCCCAGTGCTTGCATGTCGAATGGGGACACGGATGCCTTCGCCACAGGGCGGTCGTGCAGATCCTGCTAAAGGGTACAGAAAGTGCACAGCCCGGCCCCACACATAGTAGGTGCTGAATAAACAGTAGCAACAGCGAGGAACAGTGGACATCTGGCCACTCCACTGTCACAGAAGCAGGACGCAAGGGGACACGTAACAGATGGGGAAGCTGGAGCCAGAGAGGGGGAGACACAGAGCCAGGGAGAGGTGGAGTTCGGAAGAGCATCCTGTGCTCTTTCTTGCCCCTCCCCCCACACTCCCCTCCCCACCCCCTCCAGCTCCTCTCCAGAATCGGGGGTTTCACCCCGGAAGCATCTCTCCTCGCCATTCCTGCTGCTCGCACTTTGCCGTGTGGACCCTTGAGGGTGAATGTTCTCTGGGCGTCTGCACGGTCCCCCCTTGGGGCTCGAGCCCCATCTGCCTGTCTGTGCCCCTTCGGAGGGTGAGCCCCGCCGAGGCAGGAGCGAGGACCTCCTCATCGTGCTCGGTCCCGTGCCTCCGGGGTGCCTGGCACAGAGCGGGTGTCCTGTGATTGCGTCACGCCGCAGCCACACTGCGCCTGGCACCATGGCTGGACGCGGACCCGGCCAGGGAACCTGCCCTTCAGGGGAACTTCCTGGGCCGATCCGTGCGTCCCCGCCCCCACCGCCGACAGCAATGCTGAGCGGAAGAGCTCCCAGCACCCCCCTGCCCCCACCCTCCACCCCCGCCCCAAACACAGGCAGGGAAACCTCCCCAGGCACCTGTGCTTGCTCTGCCCTCTTCCCATGTCACTCTGTGCGCGGCCGGTCCCCAGGAGGGCCCAGCCTGGACCCGGGGAGCAGAAAGAGGCCGCTTAGGGGTAGTTAGATGCACGGGCTGGGGTTCCGATCTGTCGCTGGGTCTTCTCCCGGCTTGGACGAGGCCGCCTGCACTCCCGGCAGCTGTTAGGAGACCCAGACAGCAGTTAGGAGCCAGGAAAGGAGGTTTCCCGGCTGCAGAGGAAGGACTTGGTCGTGTGGCTGCAGCCCAGGGCCCAGGGAGCCTTTGTCCCTCTTGCTGAACAGTGAGGACGCTCGCTGGGGGAGAAGTGCAGGGGAGGGACCGGGGACTGCCCCCACCCTTTGACCTCTCTGGCTTCTCTTGGACTCCACTTGTCTGTCTTCGGGGGAAGTCTCCCTTCCCCCCACCACCCATCAGGGCCTTGGCCTCTGCTGACCCCCTGACCTCTCCTGTTCAGGTCACAGCCTGAGCCCCCCGAGAAGCTCCTCTCCCCACCCGTGTCCAGTGCCCGGTTCCCTGGGTGAATGACCGAGTGAGCACACGAGGGGGTGGGCAAACGGGTGGCTGGAGGGCTGGTTGCATGTGGGCGCCTTTGCCGGTCCCCCTAACTGTGAGAGCTGTGGAAGCGCCCGCCTTGTCCTGGCTCCATTCTCAGGGCCCAGCACAGTCCCCAGAGGGGAGCTGGGAGTGGGCAACGTTTCTTGGACAACTGGGAGGAATGACAGGACTTTGGCACTGGGACTCCCTGACAGGGAGATTCTGGGATGCAGGCTCAGCATCCAGCTCCCAAGTCCGCCCCCCCCCCCCAACAGCCACGGTTGTTTTGAAACAATGGAGTCGAGTGGGAGTGGTCCTTGCGTGCTGCTTGCCCCCCCCCCCCCCGCACCCCCTGCCACAAACTGCCAGCTCCTCAGAGGGCAGGGGCCACATTTTACTTTCTTTAAAGGGCAGGAGTTTCTTTCCCTTCCCCCAACAGCCTGCATCGGGATTCTGAGCCGCCTGAGTGGTGGGTTACTGCTGGATACAGCCCTGAGGCCTGTGGTTGTGGGTGGGGTCGAGGCCCCTGCTGATGGTACCCATCGGCAGGGGGTGGGGCGGAGCCCAGA